GTCGTCGTCGTCGTCGTACTACTACGTACTCTCTCCTCTCTCTCTCTCTCTCTCTCTCTCTCTCTCTCTCTCTCTCTCTCTCTCTCACTCTCTGTTTGTGTGCTGACTGTACTATGGCTTCGTTGCTCTTCAAGGAAAAGAGAGGAGTCAACTTCTCCTGCGTCTCCCCCGCATCGGCAGCGATATGCACAAGCATAGATCGGCGGTCGATGGTTCAGCCGAGCACCGGCAGAACCATCGATCGGCACACGCCTCATCTGAGAGATCCGCGACGAGCTAAGGCTAGTGTCAACGCCATGTCACAGACGCCCACAAAGCCAAAAACCTGCAACCAGAGGAACAAGAAGAGCTTGGAGAGAGCCAGTGATACGCTCAGTACACCAGGCTCCACTCGCTACCTGCTTGATGACGACTACGGTGATGCCTACTTCAGCAATGTGCTGCCGGATGTGGAACCCCTTCCTCCGCTCATGTCGCTCGAGCCACCCACTCTACGAGCGCTGATGAGAGAAGAACCAGCTCGATTGAGGCCATCTGCTGCTGCCAGAACACAGGGCCAGGTTCTCAACTCATCCGGCTTCCTTAATGCTTCAGTTGCTCGAGATCAGACATAAATCTAGCTTGTCTTCTTCGTAGGTGGTGGTCTTGCGGGTGTCTTTGCACTGCAAGGGCTGTGAAGGGAAGGTAAGGAAGCATATCTCCAAGATGGAAGGTGAGACACCGTCACGATTCAACCGTGCTGCTGTGCTGTACTCAATCAGAGAAGGAAACAAAACAAACATCGACTGTTGTGTTGTTGTTGTTGCTGTTGTTGTGTGAATTTTAATGATGGATTAAGTTGAAGATGTGATCATGCTGCTGCTGCTCTTGGTCAGGGGTGACATCATTCGACATCGACTTCGCGACGAAGAAGGTGACAGTCATCGGAGACGTGACACCACTGGGAGTTCTGAGCAGCATCTCCAAGGTCAAGCATGCGCAATTCTGGCCATCTCCACCACGCGCATCGGATTCCCTGTGACGATCATTGGCTGCTGCTCTCTGGAAGCTGTAAAAAACCTATGTGAGGGTGTCTGTAAAAAAACGAGAACATTTGCTGTAGTACTTCTCTCATGTCTTGGATGCTGCTGGGATTGTCTGGGAAACAAACAAATCATCCGGTTATCTCCTCATCATTTCGGTCATAATGGATCCGATCTCGGCCTTTCCTCTTGTTCTGTTTTTGGTCTCACTCATCACTGTCACTACTATGCATCTTTACAAGCGGACACTCTGTGATCTCAAGCTTTAGATCCTTCCTGTGCTTCTCATGCAATTATATCTGCATTTCTGCACTCTTAGGGAAGTGCATCTCTTGCTTACTTGTACTCGTTTGCCTGGTGGGGTGCCATAATGCAGTTCTTCAACCTCAGGATTCACAGACTTCGACATGGTACTTGGTGGATTATGCAGCATAATCCACCTCGCGTGCCGGTCGTGTTCTGTTCTTCCTCGATGCGAGAGTTTCTGTGCAATTCTACTTTAATGTCTGACCTACTTGTATCAACGACGAGGTGCAGCAGCGAATGACGACGAAGGAGGCCATGGTTTCGTGGTGAATCCGATTATCTTCTCGGAATCTTTGAGCTCCACCAGCTCTGTAAATTTGGGTCAACTACAGATGCTGGCAAGCAGAAACCAACGCTTTATTTATTAGATCCTGCATTATCTGCAGTTCACAATCGAAACAACACTGACAAGAAAAACTCTACACAACACAGAACGAGGTCTCATGGAAATCATCAAGATCAACAAGATCGCCGCCATTCTTCATGCATCAACAGGAAGCTTCTTGTGCAACTACAGTTTTCATCGTCCTCTGTTCAAGCCAGGCCACCATGTCGGAGAAGACGAGTTCCACGCGTTCTGGGGCCTCGCCAAACGTGAACGCATGCCACATGCCATCGTACACCTTAAACGTTTTATCGGTGCTGGAAGCTGATTTGTATAGCAATTCACTTGATGATGGATCGAAGATCTTATCATCCCCGCCGTGCATCACCAGGAATGGCAGAGTAACCTATCAGCAGAGGACAGAGGCACACGGCAAGGTCAGATTGAGCGTTGATCTCACTTACTGGTTGACCGTAGCAGTACAGAGGTTACCTGGTGCAGATTTCTCTCAATGGCCAAGCTAACCCGGAGAAGCTCATGACCGGTTCCTAAACGAAGACTTCCTCTGTAGTTGTACGGATTTGATCGAACCTGCAGAAACCGAAGAGCAAATGACTTGACAAGCAAGCATAGATAGAGATCCAAAAGAAGCGGATCACACGTGTATGCTGGATCACCTCCTGTCTCTTTTCAGGATCTTTTATGGCAATATCGATCATGTCTTTTGCAGGAATCATCTTCCATGTCGGAATGATGCTACACAACTTCTTCAGGATGCTGATCACCAAAGGATGCGGCTTCATCTTCCCATCGATCTGTAGAAGTTTGGATCCAGGGTCAGAATAACTTCACATCTCACACGAATGACGACGACGACGACGACCAGATGGAGGACCTTGCACATGGGGCTCACAAGAACAGCACCACTCCAATAGGTTGGGGCCTTCAGATGGAGGAGGAGAGCCACTGCTCCCCCCATGGACAACCCAAAAAGGTACCTCGGCTTCTTCTTGTTCTCCCGTCTCTCTAATAAATTTGAAGGCTCGTAGAATTAGAACTTGAAACTAGGAACGCTTGAGAATGAATGATCCGAGTTCATACCACATACACTCATGAAGTAGTCAGAGCAGTCGCTGACGAGATCATCGAAGCTTGAGATGTAACCTCGCAATCCGGACGATTTGCCGTGGCCTTCATAGTCTACTCCACGAACTGCGTAACCTGCTTTCGCTAATCGAGTTGCAATGTCTAAATCGAGAATGAATCAGTGATTTATACCGATCCAAACTATGAATAGTAAGTCAAGATGTTTGCAGAAGCTTCACCTCTCATGGATATGCTGCACTCCGAGCCATAGCCTGGGCAAATTCCCGGAACATTAAAAGAGATGTTCATGAAAGAGATTACCAGTACTTGAATCTGTGTGAAGAGAGTACCATGGCACAGAAAGATCAATGCTTTCGGTTCTACGTTCCTCTGTACAAATCTGCATGTAAAAAGTCTCGCTCCACGTTGATTCTCTATAAATTCCTAGAATCGAACTAAAGATATTACTAAGATCAAAAAGAACAAGGAATCGATAAGAAAAAGCTTCTGATCACTGAACGCTAACCTCTTCATATTCGACGTTATCATCGGCATGCGCCTGTGAGAAAGGATGCTTAGTAACCAAAGGAAACAGAGGAATTCTGTGAGAAAGAACTCACCATTATAAGCCAACAGGAAGCTTTCAGTAAGATAGGATTTGATGAGTAAAGGGGAAGAAATAACAGAGAACTATATAGAGATCAAGAAACATGGGGCGGTGGAAATCGCTGGTGGATGAACAATAATCCACAGGTAGAGATTTCAGCTACGTTAGGTATAAAACAACTGATATCTCTGCCGACAGCAATAGGTTTCGAAGACTGGAAGAACAATTCCATGGAAGAACATGGAATAATTCAAACATTATATTACGTGACAAACTTCTCCTTGAGGTGTTCAACGGGTCCTAAACAAGTTGCCATTGCGATAGACTCGAAGCTTACAAGATTTTGGTCTCCCATAGTACACGTAAGGAATCAATTGCTGCACGGAAAGATCATTTGACGCCATATAAAAGTTATTTATATTTCTTTTGGGGAATGCAAGTCTACATAAAAGTCAGCTTGTTTATTTTCCGTAGAGGAGCCAATAGCGGCAATCCTGATGAATAGGATAAGGTAGCTGAGTTCTTAGCCGTCGATTTGCGATGTCTTGGAGCGTGCATCCTCGTCGTGCTTGGCTTTCAGCTCCATCTCAGATGCGGGGTCTTGGGTGGTCGTCCTCTGGTCGAGCCAAGCGATGATGTCGGAGAATACGAGATCGATGCTCTCCGGGGGCTCGCCGGACGTGAGCGCGTGCCACATGCCAGGGTAAAGCTTGAACGTCTTGTCCTCGCTTGACGCTGTCTCGTAGAGCAGTTTGCTGACCGAGGGATCCGTCACAATGTCGTCTCCCCCATGCACCACCAAGAACGGCAGCGACACCTGCACGCAGCAAATTTGCTTGGACTCAAACAAGCTTAGCGATCAAACGAAGCGAATCATTCACCATGGTTAGCACATAGCTACTTTCGTGTGTAAGAACAGTGGGCCAAAGATGGAGCACATAGTGGATGATGAGAGAACGTATAAGAAAAGCTAAGATGAACTATGCATGAAGGAGGAAATGATAAGGATCACCTGGTGCAGGTTTTGCTCAATGTCCAAGCTAGCCATGAGAAGCTCATGAGCGGTCTTCAAGCGCGGTTTTCCCTTGTAGCAGTACTGATTAGATCGAACCTACCAAAACAAAACAAAAGAAACGAAGATTCGTGTGTATTATAAGATAGACGAAGAAATAGGTGCCGTGTACACTGCACTTGGGCATAAGCTTTGCTACCTCCTCTCTCTTCTCTGGAGTTTTGATGGCGATATCAATAATGTCTCGCGTCGGAACAATTTTCCACGTCGGTATGATGTAACTCAGCTTCTTCAAAATGCTGACCACGAACGGGTGGGGCTTCAACTCATCAGCAATCTAAAGTAAACATATTGATTAGTGCTTCGTCAAAGAGTAATCTTAACTAAAAGGTACCACCACATGAGAGAGACAGAGTGTTTTAGGACAGCAGTGACACACAGCAGCGTGAAACGTGCTTGATGTGATCTTGAAAAGGAAGAAACAAAGAATAGTAGGTCACAGGGAAGGAAAAAAGAGAAGACCTTGCACATGGGGGCGACCAGAACAGCACCATTCCAGTAGGATGGTTCCTTCCTGTGGAGGAGGAGGGCCGTGGCTCCCCCCATGGATTCCCCAAGGAGGTACCTCGCTTTCTTCTTGTTCTCCGGCCGCTCTAAGCATAGAGGATTGTGTTAGAACTTGAAGTGCTGCTGTAACTATGAGCGCATGCTTTTGCAGTTCATACCACAAACGCCGACGAAAAAGTCAGAGCAGTCGTTGACGATATGTTGGAAGCTCGGAACATATCCTTGCAATCCAGAAGATTTGCCATGGCCCTCGTAATCTATTCCGTAAACGGCGTAGCCTGCCTTTGCACATCGAGTTGCAGTGTCTGGATCGGAAAGGAGTTCAGAAGCCATCATCGATCATAAAAACTGGGTGAAGAAAAGCACGATGACGTTTCTTGGATGAAGCTTTACCTCTCATGGATATGCTGCACTCCATGGCGTAGCCTGGAAGAAGCACAAACCTTACGTAACAGGAATGCACAGGAACGAGAAAGAAGCGAGAGGTGATCGGGGAGTACCATGGCACAAGAAGATGAGGGCTTTCGGATCTTTGTTTTCCGGCAGCCACCTGCACGTAAAAAGCTTGACTCCCCGAGGGTTGTCTATGTATTCCTGAAATCATGTGCAAACGACATGAATAATCTGTCAAAAGAAGAAGAAAGAAGCTTCTGATTGCTGATCGCTGACCTCTTCATATCTGACATCCGCATCACCGTTTGCCTGTAAGAAGGAAAAAGATAGAGATTAAAGAGACAAACAAATGCCAAAGACAGATCTGTATATAGATAGATAGATAGATAGATCGATCGATCGAGAGAGAGGAAGTTTGTGAGGGAAGAACAGACCATGGGGGAGAATTCACAAGGCGGAGGTTTGGATCTTTGGGTTGACGATTCGGTAGAAGTGAAAGAGCAGGGAGTTGAAAGGATGCGATGTATTGAGGAAACGCGAAGATAAGGAGAGTCGGATAGAACGGAAGGATTGGCGTTATGGAAAGCACGGCATCGATGACGCTAATATTGGTGGTAGAAATAGGAAGATTCGCTGATAAATACGTTGTCTATTAAGGCATCGAATTGTTGCGGAACCGCAATAGTCGAATCACCATCGGTTCAAGAATGGGCGGCTGTGATCGATTGCACGCAGCAAAGGGGAAGGAGGTCGCCATTGATGACTCGACTGCGTCAGTGGGAGTCGTTATAACGGGTCACGTCTGCTGCTTTGCCTTTTGGACTTTTATGACTTTGACCGGTTCATGTTATATTGAATGGGGCTGAGAATTAATTTGGCAACATGATATATGGATAATGAATGAATGGTTGACAATTGAGGCCAAATGCAATCTAAATGGGTTGTCTGGTCTGATGAGAATGACAATAGATTTAGATTAGTAACAACGATCTCGATCAAAATTTAGCGGTCAATAAGAACAACTCGGCCTAATTTGGTCAAAGCAAATTTCTGCACATCTTGTTGCCCATTGGCATCCTCATCGTAGTCAAGCTAACATTAAGATAGGGACCATCTCATCAACCAGTTTGTGGTTGAGGCACACGCAGGTTTAATCCACTGTCAATGATGTCTCAGTGGGATTAACATCGTTTTGGGCACCACCGTCGCCACCGTCGCTTCCTCTTCTCATCGGTAAACGAATCACAGAGGAAGCTTCCTTCCACCGTATTATTTCTCAGAATATGACTCACCACCACGTGTTCTCCTTCCTTCCGGCTAAATCTCCATGTTCTCTTATCGTAGTCAACTTCTCAAGTTGAAATGGCAGTCCCCACGGAAACAGGAGAGTTTGCAGAAGATTGCAGTGACCTGCGCGAACCTAAAGGATGCCAACTCTGTTAATCTTCTGTGTGTCTTCCAGTAGGATCCGCTTTCCTCTCGCAGATGTTTCCCCGGCTGACATCTTTACTTCCTAAAGGAACAACACAAACAATAGAAAAGGCATGGATAGACGAATTAGAAGTTGGTTGACTTCTCAAGTTGCTGATCAGTAATGGTGCCTAAAATCCATCTCTCCGTTGACAACAGCACACCCATGTGAAGAGGTGCAGAAATAATGGGTTATAAGACTAGAGGCTGAGGTGGGCATGAATAGATCTTCTCCTGATGGAGTTCTTCGAACTCTTCCTTCTCGAATCTATCATTGTTTATTGCGAAGAGTACGGGTTCGTACATCGACAGCATGCTCTCACTCATCTTCTCAGCATCTTCTCTTATGTCGCCTCGGAAACTTGTCATCTTATCAGATGCCTGATAAGACCAACCGCTCATACACACTCATCGTCGTGCATTTAACAACGCGATTCAGCAGTGGCTTCATCTTTACTATAAAGTCCATTTTTGCCGTCGTAAGGCGACGCTGAATCCTTCCACAGTTTGCAGGATCGATTGCTCGGATCGATGGAGCGAGTTAATCGTCGTTATTTTTCCAAGATGAAAGGTGAGATGATGGTGATAGCTTACCACAAATAATTCATCTAGCTCGTGAGTTTGGTGCACAGAAGAAGATTTCTTCCTCCTTGTTTGCCACAGCCGGCCGAATTCACATATATATAATATGCCCATCATATCAAAGTTCAAAGAAGCTATTTCTTCGGTGACGTTTTCCTTTTGATTTTGATTGATCGCGAAAGCCGCTGAATAATGCAATATAGTAGTTAGAATCACAACCATACACGTTATCTTCTTCTACTGCTGGTTTAGGAGATGAGCGAGCGTTGAACGTGAGGTATACACTGCATGCATGCAACGTGGCGATCGAGTTCGCGGTGAAGTGAGAAGTGCAAGCGAACGACAGTGAGAGAGAGAGAGAGAGAGAGAGAGAGAGAGGGGCCAATCCCCCTCGACGAAACAGTGGCTTTGAAGAAGAGATCGATGGAAGCGTTTTCCAAGACTGTAACTTCAAGTTCGTCACCCTGTCACACCAAGCTCGATCACTACGTTGTCGATTTGTCTTTCCCAAAATAATATTTTGTCTTAAAGATTAAAGGAAGCATATGTGCATGAGTTGGTTGGCTGTCGAATCCGTGTTACACGCATGATGACGACGACGATACAACAACGTAATTAACCAGCTTCCTCTGCTGCGCTCCTTTATAAGCAGCTCCGCTGTTTCCATGTCTCTCGTCCCACGCCGCCTTGTGATCTCTTTCCTCCTCCGACGGAACTGTTGGAAGCTTTTTTATCGCCTCGACGATGCCGCGGAAGGGAATGCGGAGTCTCTTCACATCATCTTCCGCGCCAAAGGTCGGTCCTGCGCTTCATCTTCGTGGGCCTCGATACGGAGCAGCGGGTGGGCCCCTGTCCCCTTCCTGCTTCACCTTCTCTGACAGGTCGATGGAGGAGAACATCGCGGCCGCAGCGGAGGTCATTCGAGAGTGGGGCCCGGAGGTGGACGACTCACTCTTCGGCAGCGGCCGCGCCGACTCCGGCCGCTTCCTGCAAGCCGTGTCGGACCTCCACCGCTCCATGCTTTTCTTCTCTTCCCCTTCCGCCGTCTCCTGCGCGTCCACCGCCGTCCGCTCCGCGGCCCTCCTCCGCGCCCATTCGCTCCTCTCCGACGCTATCTGCCGCCTCGAGCGGGAGC